CACGTCAGAATTCATCAGGCTTAGTTCCAAGGTTGCAAATGTTTGCAATAAATGTCAGTTCGCCAGACATTCAGCAACGGTTTTTGTGTTTTTGCTTGTCGCAAAGAAATTTTGAACACGTTCAAAATTCCCTTACAATACATGCCCGTGAATATTGTTAAATTATCTGTCTAGATGTGTTGTTCCATCGTTTCTGTTTGAATATCTGTTGCTTAAACTGTTGGAAAACAATTATTGATTGCTAAGCGTTAGCGTGTTAGTAGTATGCTAGTGGGCCGTTCTTAAGGCAATGTATTTTGGTTGCTATAAATATATGACGCGTATTGCTTATTGTGAAATTAGTTAAATTGAGTTCAGAGACATCATTCAGAGCTTGTATCTCCAGTTTGTGCTCAGAAGTCAAAGCAAAAAAATCGCTCCAATGACAGCTCATATCATAAAATATTCATAAGTCAGGTTACTCGTATCTCAAGGCACCATTATATTTGTTTTTGTTTCATGTATATTTTTATTTATCATCTTTATTTCCTTCAATACACAAATTTCTGATTGAGTTGCCATCTTCATTTTAATTTTTAGTATTCGTATTCTTTGTTTGGCTTGCATTGTTTTTGAATGCTGTTGAATATGTTTTTGAACATTTCTCATTGAATATTAAATTTAATTTTCCTTATTATTTTCTTTGCGGGTCATTTTAATTTCTCATTGAGTACGAAAAATGTCATTAAAAAAAATAAAAGATTTTTAAATACACTGCGGTTAATTTTTAAACGTGGAACTCCATCTCCCAGCATCCATTTGTGCCAATAGAAGAAGGAGGCAGTTACCATGGCGCCCTGTTGCCGAGGAGTCCTGTTGCCATGGTGTGTGTGTGTGTGTGTGTGTGTGTGTGTGTGTGTGTGTGTGTGTGTGTGTGTGTGTGTGTGTGTGTGTGAGAGAGAGAGAGACAGCGCGAGAGACTGTAGTTTAATCCAAGATGAGAGAGAATGAGATAATTAGCAGGCTGTTCAAAACTGGCCTCTCAAAGAAGATTTAGTTCTTCATTGCCCTTGCGTGCGCACACACACACACACACACACACACACACACACACACACACACACACACACACACACACACACACACACACACACACAATTAAATAGTGAGCGATGAGCTTTTTTATGATTGACCAAATAAAAACAATATTATTCAATTGTGCACTTAAAATTAAATAAAATAATGAAAGGAACATTCATGACGAATGTTTAATTTCATTTTAGTGCGATGAATATTTACCGTTAAGTGCAGTAGTATGTTTGGTTATCATATTTAAAATTGTTCACTTTGTTTGGTGTCATTCGAACATTTCATTCATATTTGAGAAAAGAAAATAAAAAAGATTGTTCAGTTTGGAGAATGAAACTAAAAGTTTACCTACTGTTATGGCCAGTGATCTGATAAAAGCTCCCCAGCAGATGTTTTTGGTTGTGTTTTCATACCTGCAGTGTTCAATTTCAACTGTAATCCTGTTGAGTGTGACTCCCACAGGACAGGTGACAGCCATACACCCACTCACGCTCAAACACACCCATACGAATAGAAACGCTCACGTCAGATCTCCTTTGCCGCCACTATAATCTGGTGAAAGCTCGTCTGTCCCAATTGTGTTATCACCTTTAATGGAATATTACTGACACACTTTTATGCCCGGGATGCTGCTCAGGGAGGGATCAAAGTGCTTTATGACAGCTCTGGATGAACCTTTTACACCAAATCAATACAAACACAAATGTTTTGGAGGGTTTTTGTTTTTTTTTGCCCTGCAATACTGGACTGTAAACGTTATTATTTATCTTTTTCAATTTGATTTTTTTTCCCTGTATAGCTTCTGAGCTTTACACTGAAGTCGAGTTTATGTGTAATATATTTATTTAATCAAATAATAGACATTGACAAAATATTGCACAAAATCCAATCCAATCAAATTATTGATTATTCCGTTTTTGAATTAACTTTAAAAAAAAATGCTTTGCAGAGTATAAAACAAAAATGTAGATAGAATAGAAAAAGGGATCACCTTCAAGAAAAATCGGTGACCACATAATTACGCGGTACCACTTTAAATACATGTCATGTACAACATAGAGAACTCAGCGTAGCAAGCCTTGAGGCCCTTCACTCACTGTACAAGCTATAAAAGTATATTTTTTAATACGAGATATTGATCACCTTTCAGGTAAATCGATGTTGACAACATAAATACAAAGTACTACTTGAAATAATATTGTAACTTGGGATACGATTTTATCAAAAGTCAAAAGGGATAAAAGTCAGGGTAGTGAGCCTTGAGGAACGCCATTCCCTGGTATACCCCTCCAAAAAGTGTAAAAAACATTTTCAAGCCTCTTGTACTCAAATAACACCTCAAAGTTGTTTCCATCGCTTGATCCAAGATTGCGTTTTACACAGAACACATAAAACTACTTGCTTACTTGGATCTATATGTCAAGTCTTCGCCTCTCAGTTTCAAGCAAGCCTTAAAGTGCATATGGATGGAGGAACTCTGCTTTGGTGACATGTTCAGTGTTCAGGTTTGTTGTCATGCATGGCCATCCCATCCTGTCTGGACGGCTCATTCCCAAGAGGAGAAAGGGAGAATTGGGGGGGATGGGAAGAAGACATTAGAGTGCAGCGCTTAGTTTTTTATAACCCTTCAAGTGAAAGGATCAATATGAGACGAAAGACCAATTACCATCAAGCGATGCACATATTTGCTCACGCTGAAAGTATGCACGGGATGACGAGAGCCACCAAGAGACTCTGGTCCATGTAGTCATCAGGTCACGCTTCATTGTGCCGGAATCCAGTAGACTGGAAGATGAGCGGGTCACAGGTTTGGTTTTCACGTCGCCGTCAGTTTCCTCTCTCATTAAATGTCTCGTCACGGTGGGATATAATCACGTCGCTGTTGTGCTTTTTTTTGAGGGTGCGGGGGGGTTTTTAGGGTGACACGTCCAAGACTGAGGGAAAGAGGCATTTGTCTTTGTGGATAGGTGTGTGTGTGACAAGCAGAATTCGTCTGACCCCACAGACAACCACACACACATGTGAACACAGGCGCAAACCCTGACACACACACACACACACGCACAGATTTCAAGCGCTTGTTGCTGTACAGAGGTGGAAAGTCCAGATGTTTCAGTCTTTATCTCTCATTAAACGCATCTGTCTGTGCACTCAGGCGGGCCCGGCTGGAATAATGCGTAACATGTTAAAGCTTCCTGTCTCTAAGAAAATACAGCTGCTGTTATTTGCCAAACATCATCTCACTCAAAGATTTTGATGTTATATATAGACATTTTTATAATTTTCAGAATTGAATCTAGGGCCATTTGGAGTTGCCCAGCCTTGTCATAGACAGATGGACTCAATTCTAAGATTCACCATGAAAAATAAAAAGAGGTGAGAGGGCCCTGTTTATCTCTGCTCTCTTAATAAACTGTTGTGTGTTCCAGGGGGCCCACGTTTGGGTCAGGGAGAAGGAGCAGCTTGTTCCAGCCACGGTCAACTCCTGCGGAGATGGCACCCTGGTTCTCACTACTGACTATGGAGAGGTAAGAACATGCACACACAAACATGGTATGACTCAACGTGTTGAACCGACAGATGTTAGGGCTGGCACTCAGCATGGAGCGTTAGCTCCTCTGGCAACATCTTCTGCATTTAAGCTTTATAATTGGCGTGAAAGGCAGCTAAAAGCAGCTTCAATATATTTTCATGGATTCTAAGAACAGCCATGAATTCCAAAGCCGCGAGCCACAGAGGTCTGAGACTCGTTTTGAGGCATTAGCTGCCCAACGCTGAGTCACGTAGCATTTGAAGGTGACACTATTGGAGTTTTGTGCTGTCGCGTCCATGCTCCAACCTTGGCATCAGCAATGTTCCGGCGCTATCAGATTGATGTCTCAACCTTTGTCTTTGCAGCAGTACTGAGGAATACAGTTTCAAGAAAAGAAAAATGGGAATGACCTGGTCATTTGATCAGCAAAATCAAAACTAGAAGGTGGTTTTTTTTTGTTGTGGTTGTTTTTCAATTTTACCAAAGACTGGAAGTGTCACAGAAAGGCATACAAGTGGACATGTGAGTTCTGCTGTCAAACTGTTTCTTAGAGAATAGAGAGTTGTGCAAAAAAGTCCTGAAACATTCAACAGTTGGACACGCATTCCAAAGTTTAGAGAAGGTCCAGTTAAGTTCACTTTCCTAAAAAGAAAAGATTGAAGATGGAAAAAATATCAAGATGTGGGTGCTTCCTTGTTCTTTTTAAACAACTACCTCCTGATAGCGACTCTAAATTTGGCTCGTCGGCATATCTCATGAGGGGTTTCTCTCCTCGAGCATCGGTATCGTGCTGATGCGGTCGCCACGGTTACTAGTCAGAGAATCGGCAAACCCCAGACAAAACACACAGACGCCACCAGCACCTGTGTATATATATTTTCATTCCATATGCACACACGCATGCAGATCAGACACTGAAACATTCAACAGTTGGACACGCATTCCAAAGTTTAGAGAAGGTCCAGTTAAGTTCACTTTCCTAAAAAGAAAAGATTGAAGATGGAAAAAATATCAAGATGTGGGTGCTTCCTTGTTCTTTTTAAACAACTACCTCCTGATAGCGACTCTAAATTTGGCTCGTCGGCATATCTCATGAGGGGTTTCTCTCCTCGAGCATCGGTATCGTGCTGATGCGGTCGCCACGGTTACTAGTCAGAGAATCGGCATCCTTTTGAAATACGCGGTAATTATGACACAAGAAAGCGAGCGGCAACAAACCCCAGACAAAACACACAGACGCCACCAGCACCTGTGTATATATATTTTCATTCCATATGCACACACGCATGCAGATCAGACACACGCATACACACACACACACACACACACACACACACACACACACACGTGTAACGCGCACATGCATGGACACACGCAGGTTCTACACACACACACACACACACACGTGTAACGCGCACATGCATGGACACACACGCAGGTTCTGTTCGCAATGATGCGTGTGTGACGTGACCTGGATTTCTGTAGCTGCAGCGTGAAAGCGGTGGCGAGAGCTCACTCGAGCAGGGAACATGCTGCGGGGATGCTTTGCGAGCACACATGCACAGAGATGAAACTGAAATGTGACTGTGCAAAAAAAATTAATAAATAAATAACACTTTTTTTTTTTGGTGTGTGTGTGGGGGATAGTGCAACCAAAATGACCCACATTTCCTCCTCCGCATCAGTTTAATGTCACCGGGCCACAGAGCACACTCATGCATGTGCTTACTCCCCGCTCTCTTAATTAATTTGACACAAAAACACACTTATGCAAATGCAGCGCATTGCACGCTAAAAATAAATAAATAAAGGAAAGTAAGAGCGACCTGGCAGTGCCCCCCCACCCCCCTCGGTGAGGGAATGTGGGCTGCTGCTACTTGAACTTGTAAGAGCAGCATGACATGGACATCAGATCGATAATTAAATAGAAACCGATTCAGAGTGGTTCAATGAATTGACTCTTGTTTGAAAAAACTGCGACGTAGCAAGAAATATGCGCCAACTATGAGACGACGGTTGCTAATATAAATGCTCTGAGGGCCGGATTAACGTGCGGAACATTTTCCAATGGTGAAAATGATTTAATAATCATAAAGCGGCTCCTGTGCGGCAGCCAGGATGAGATTAAGCGGTGAGCCATGAAGGTCATACATTTTTGATCTGAGGTCAGTGCAGCCAGCTTGCAGGAATCTGACAGTTCATCCTCTGACTTTGCAGAAAAAAAAAAAAAGAAAGGTATGACTATATTGGTCACTGTGCCAAAGGCTCTCCTCGTTCTCTCTCTCTGCTCGTCTACTTCTGTCTCTGTCTTCAGCTATAATACGAGAAGTCACATGAGACGCTTGGCCTGTTATCATGCAAAGCACATTCACACATCAAAGAGCTTCAGCAGAAAAAAAAAAACTGGCACACACACCAAAAAAAAGGCTTTCATTTTGCATTACAGACACAAGAGAAATGTTACAAGCCGCTATTCAGTTTGTGTGCCCTTGAAAACATTCAAACAGTCACAACATTGGGTGCGCCTTGCTTTGTAATATAATTTAAAAATCCTTTCAAAAATTGATAAATGGTAATCTGGTTGAAAACATTTTTTTTAAATGTACATTCACCAAATCTGATCATTCTGGTCAGTGAATAAAAAAGAATTTAACAATATAGTTTTCATGGGTTTCACCTGGCCAAAAATGGTCATGGTAGTGACGGCCAAAACATGCAGTTTGATGTGAACGCTAAATGACAAAATCCCCATTCGGCACCTTTCATTATATTTTGCATGAACACAACTAAAATTGTTGAGGAAAAAAAGGAAGTTGGGTGGACACACAAATGGCCTGCACGTAAAGCCCGTGGGGGTGTCAGCAAATGTTATTGCAAAACACACACACACACACACACACACACACACACACACACACACACACACACACAGACACACGCGCGCGCACACAAGCTGTGACATTAAAAATGCACCCATTTAAAAGGCAGTCTTTTCTATTTTTGGACACATTTGAGGCAATGAATGGATGACCTTAACAGCCATTATATTCTATCGGTGTGTGTGTGTGTGTGTGTGTGTGTGTGTGTGTGTGTGTGTGTGTGTGTGTGTGTGTGTGTGTGTGTGTGTGTGTGTGTGTGTGTGGAGAGGCCTCCAATTTAAAAACGGTCGGTAAGAATCGCCCATACCCTTGACACCATATACAGTTCATGTAAAAGAACGTATGTCAGTTATGATTGACACGTGTCTGTCATGCATGGCATGTCAGGTGCTGTACCTGCAGCAGGCGGAGGTCACCAGGGAACGTGTGCACGCCATGCACCAGACCAGCGTGGACGGCGTGGAGGACATGTCGGCACTGGCTGAGCTGCACGAGGCCGCCATCATGCACAACTTGTACCAGCGCTACCAGAAGGACAGCATCTATGTGAGAAGTTGTGTTTTGTGTAACCCCACCTCCATCGTGGAGTTCTGGTAGTTTTCTGATTTATTTTTTTTCCTGCAGTAAATATGTCTACTTTGGACTAACGCTCATTTATATTGTGTGTAGTTCCACTATCGACCACTCGATGGCGGCATACTTATTTAGTTTGCGAGGGTGTCAGGAAGTACAATTGAATATTTTTGGAGCATTGAAATTAAAAACATCCACAGAGATTAATAGAAATTTGGTAAAAATATGTATACATAATTCAAATTGTGGAGCATTATTAATTTTCAACAACAACCAATTTTTCACGTCAGACCAACGACTGAAAATCAGCTTTTTAAGCCTTTTGTAATTGCCCTTGACGCCACAAGATGGCAGCAAATCCCTTTAAACGGCGACTGGGATTCATTTTATTACTTACTCTCTGTTACAAAATAACAGCAAAGCATCAACCACATGCACCTTGTACACGATCATGAATATACATGCATGTATGCTGTAGTTCCATTAACCAACTTAAAAATATCACGTTCACACGAGGCTCTTCTTGCCCGACTAAATTACACGCTAGCAAGCGCTGCCCGCTAATTAACGTCAAATAAGTGTCACACCAAAGCCAAAAACAACCCAACTTGGTGACTAAGTAGGCTGACGTGCGACGGCGTGCCCTGGTTCATCGGGGATGGCGCTTTTCAGACAAACATCGGCAGCATCCTGGCGGCAGTCAACCCTTACAAGCAGATCCCAGGTCTGTACGACCCGGAGCGGGTGGACCTGTACTCCAAGCATCAACTGGGTGAGCTGCCGCCGCACATCTTTGCCGTGGCCAACGAATGCTACCGCTGCATCTGGAAGCGACACGACAGCCAGTGTGTGCTCATCAGGTCAGCTCCTGTGACATCGACATCCTTGTTATTTGTTTAAAAGGTCGCCTTTTTTTTTTTAAACTTGGGCATCTTTTAATTTAAGGGATTCACAGTACCGGTCGTCTTGGTTTAAGGGAAAAGTGCAATTTTGGGGAGATTTACGGTAGTCTAAGTTCACCCTGCACAACATTTGCGGGGTTTTTGGTCTCTCATTTTAATCGGTTAAATTTGGGGTCTTCTTTTTTCCATACTTTTATTTTGCCCTGCACAATTTATGGGAGAGTTACGGTAACCTTCTTTGAACCTGTATAATTTTGGGGGCATTTTAACCTGGGCAATTTATGGGGATTACGGAATATTAGGGCACTACAGTTGTCTCATTTTAACCTGCATCTATTCCATATTATATCATACCTATATGTTTGAAGGGATTGAAGTTTTATTTCAACCCCTGCAACGTTTGGCATCTTTTACGGTAGTGTCATTTCAAACTGTGCAATTTTTGAGGGATTTACGGTAATCGCATTTGAAGCCACGCAGTTTTTGAGGGCGGTAACATTCAATCAAAGCTTCAATATCAATTTGTGTCCGTGTCAGTGGGGAATCGGGGGCAGGGAAGACGGAAAGCACCAAGCTATTGCTGCAGTTCCTGTCGGTGATGAGCCAAAAGTCAGCTGGGACACCGCCGTCGGAGAGAAGTACACGCGTGGAGCAGGCCATTGTACAGAGCAGGTACTGTATGTTTCATATGTGCAATACGGCGGAGCGATCACATGGCGGCAGAGTCTGCTGGAAAGACAAATCGTTATTAAGACGCAACAAAAAATGATTTACATACTTTGGCAGTTGCTGTTTTTTTGCTTAGCAAAGAAGTTTAGAGGGTTGTAATAGACATTGTGGCTTCAGAGTTGACTGGAACGCAAATCGTCTTTGATGATACTGTGTAAGTGGTTGAGTAGGTGCCTCTGTTTTGGTTAGCAACATGGGTCGAACTGACTGTTGTGGACAATGCACAATAATGTGGAGCAATCACAGGTCAGAAGCTACCGGAAGACAAATTATCTTTCAAGACAAAGTGTCCCCCGCTCACCTTCTCTTCGCAGTCCTATCATGGAAGCATTCGGGAACGCCAAGACCGTTTACAACAACAACTCCAGCCGCTTTGGGAAGTTCATCCAGCTTCACTTTTCGGAGAGCGGCAACATCCAGGGAGGCTGCGTCATTGATTGTATCCATTTTTTTTTTTTTTAGGCCGATTATGATATCTGGCAAAACAAAATTCCGATAACCGATTAGTCAGACGACTAATTAAAATAATACTTCCACTAATTAGGATATGACAGGCTGAACTGTTTTACAATACTTTCTCCAATCATATTTGTTTAACATTGCCGATTTTAAAAGAGCTAATATCCGCACTTTGGTCTTATTATCGGTGCCAGTACAGTCAAATTGCCGATGCCATCATGTAATGACGGGCCATCGTGTGCTAATTCAAAATTGTCCACCGTGTGAACAAGTTCACATTTTCTGTTGTTGACTTTCCTTGACTCGGATTCCGTCAGATTTACTGGAAAAGGTAACCATCTGTGAATTATTTGCGATGGGTTTGTTTTGTTTATCGCGACTGTTGACGATTGGGTTGATTGGCGGCAGAACCGAGTGGTGCGACAGAACCCCGGAGAACGCAACTACCACATCTTCTACGCGCTGCTGGCAGGAGCCAACAAAGAGCATAAAAGTAAGTTTGCTTGCTTCTCAAATTTTATTTATTTCTCCCCGCCCTTTTTTTTCCAAATTCATTTTATTTTTATTGGGTCAGGCCTCTACTTCCTGGAGGATCCAGCGGAATCTTTCCACTACCTCAGTCAGTCGGGTTGCCTGAAGGACAAGAGTCTGAATGACAAAGAGCTGTTTAACAGTGTTATGGTAAGTTAGTAATACATCATCAATTTGAATCAATACTGACCGGAATATATTCTTTATCCTCCGGAAAAAATAATTTTATTTTCATCATAATGAGTTTGAATTCCCCGTTAGCATGACCTTCCTTCGCATGGTTCCACCACCTCCATTTTTCCTTCCCGTTGCGAGCAGGAGGCGCTGAAGGTGCTGGAGTTCTCAGACGAGGAGATCCGGGACATGTTCAAGCTCCTCTCGGGCGTCCTGCAGCTCGGCAACGTGGAGTTCATGACGGCGGGAGGAGCTCAGATCACCACCAAGCAAGGTCGGTGGCAAGCTCAAAACAGAAAAAAAGAAGTGCAGTATTATACTGTAGCCCAACTCCATTTTTTGTGGCCCTCAATCTCTTTTTGGATAAAACTTGTCTCCTCACTGCTACTGATCATTTTTATGTGATGAGCGTGAGCTGATCATGATGCTGTGATATTTTACAGACTCCACAGTCTCCACTTTGCTGCAATGTTAAAATTTCTTCCTGCCCTCTGTGTCCTCTTGGATAACAATTGTCTCCTTACCCTGTTGTTGCATTTTTATACACCAGAATCTCTTTGCTTTAATGCTCTGTCTTTTTGCTGCCCTCAGATTGCGCTTGTATCAAAGATTGCCCCTGACTTTTTTTTTTTTTTTTTTTTTTAGTATTAATGTTAACTTACACAATCTCCCCTTTGCTGCAGTGCTCCATTTTCTCGCAGCCCTTTGCCTGCTCTTTTATCAAATTTCGCAGCAATTGTTCAAAAAAAAAATCATGTTAGCTGACTATATTGATGCAGTATTATATGTACTCCACTGTCTCTAATAATATATATATTTTTTAATATTATTCTAGCTTTATTTGGCCTTGGCTCTGGCAGCTGTATACCTACCCCACAGTAACCATTATGCTGAAGTGCTCTGTTGTCTTGTTTACCTCATTCTCCTCTTGGATAAAATTCTCCTTACCAAAATTGATGTACTTTTTTTTTTTTCCATTGACGGAGGCTTATTTTGTCACTTCGACGTAGCCTTGGATGCTGCAGTATTGTACTCCACACTTCCTGCAGAATTAGAAATACTCCACAGTCTCCACTTTGGTGCAATGCTCCATCTACTTTCTGCCCTCAGTCTCCTCTTGGATAAAGTGTGTGTTCGTGTTGGGTTTTGATATTTTTTTCAGTGGTGACAAACGCCAGCGAGCTGCTTGGCCTCGATGCCTTCCAGCTGTCCGAAGTGCTGACTCAGCGCTCCATCATATTGCGAGGGGAAGAGATATGCTCGCCGCTCACCATCGAGCAGGTCGTTAAGCACTCGCCGATTGATTTGTCCTGGGATTTATTTCCTCATAATGCTAAACCGCCTTCCCGTGATGTGATCACAGGCTGTGGATTCCCGGGATTCTGTCGCCATGGCGCTGTATTCCCAATGTTTCTCCTGGATCATCCTCAAGATCAATCAGAAGATAAAAGGGAAGGAAAATTTTAAGTCCATCGGTATTCTGGACATCTTTGGCTTTGAGAACTTTGAGGTTTGTTTGAGCATGGGACACACATACTGTGCATTAAAATGAACACAAAACAAACAAACAAAAAAAAAAACAAACAAAACAGAAAAGGTCTTGCATTAAGCATATGCAAATGAGTCAGTGTCTTTTTTCCTTCAGGTGAATCGCTTTGAGCAGTTCAATATCAACTACGCCAATGAGAAGCTCCAGGAGTACTTCAACAAGCATATCTTCTCCCTGGAGCAGCTGGAGTACAACAGGTGTGCTTTGTCAATTTTGATTTGAGAGAGAGAGAGAGAGAGAGAAAGAAAGAGAGGGGGGCGGGGGGGGGGGGCACGGCATCTAATGTCCTGTTGATTATATTTCTATCCTCGCAGGGAAGGTGTCCAGTGGGATGCCATCGACTGGATGGACAATGCCGAGTGCCTTGACCTCATAGAGAAGGTATCACGCATATAGTCCCGAAATTATTTTAATGCGGAGCAGTGACTTGAGTGCAAAAGTGGTCAGTGTGTAGCGCACAATGCCGTCGACCTTGTTTGTCGTTCAAACAGCCTCGTGGGCCTGACGAGAAGATATTAATTTGCATTGGACGATGGGCTGCAAATTATTGAGTGCCATGAAATCTGCCTAGCAACAAACGTGATCAGGAAAAATATGTTGATTGCTCACCAGCCGAGTAGATTTCTCAGGATCGTTTTATTACATTTTTTTTCACGTTGATATTAATTTTTGGTGGTATCTAGCGGGCCGACTTGCTTTACTCTTCAGAAATTGGGCTTGTTGGCTCTGGTGAACGAAGAGAGTCGCTTCCCCAAAGGCACAGACTTCACTCTTCTGGAGAAGCTTCACAGTAGACACTCTGTGAGTTATTTATTTTTGGATTAATTATTTTAATTTTTTTATTTATTTTTTGTTTATTAAGTACACTGCAGACGTTACCGGGACTGACTTTGCATATTTTGTGGCAGACCAACCCTTACTACGTGAAACCCAGACTGGCCGACCACCAGTTCGGCATCAAACATTACGCCGGGGAGGTGAGTAGTCCTCATGTTTCTACATTTGCGCAAAAGAGCCGACATAATGTTTTTTTGCGTTTGGGCGACTTCAGGTCTTGTATGACGTCAAAGGCATCCTGGAGAAGAACAGAGACACCTTCAGAGACGACATCCTCAACATGCTGAAAGACAGCAGGTAGCTAGGACAGTGTGTGACGGACACAGCAAAAGTCCTGAAAAACAAAACAAAACATCACGATTTTGCCTAAAGGTTGGACTTCATCTACGACCTTTTTGAGAAGGTGGGCAGCAGGAACAACGAGGAGAAGATGGGAACAGCCAGACGCAAGCCCACCGTCAGCTCTCAATTTAGGGTGCGCACACAAAACACTGAAAACACAAAATCAAAATAAAAATGAGTCTCTCGAGATACGAGCTGTCTTTCGGATGACTTTTTTTTTTTTAACTTTAATGCATCAAACTAAACATAAATTACATGTGATATATTTGAGAAGACCCTGCTATTTTAATGTTAACATTTAATCATATGTGAACACAAATGGTGGGACAACACACGCAGACAGAAAATATCACCATACTAACAGGAATATATTCTTTATCATCTACAAAAAAACGCTAAGATCATTGCAGCTTATTGAGTCCCTGAGAATAATGAAAATGTAAATGCAGACAAATAAAGAAGAGCGGCTTTCTTCTTTTTGTCTGTATTGTACTGCCCCCGGTGGCCGAGACAGGGACACCAGAGGGAGCAGCAGCAAGAATTGAATTGAAGCATTAAATCATGATGCATGCTTGGAAAAGATAAAATGTGTGTTTTGAGTTACAAGCGCGGTCATGGAACAAAGTAAACTCATATCTCAGGGCACTACTGTACACTGTAAATGTTCTCCCCTGCAGGACTCGCTGCATGCTCTCATGGCCACTCTGAGTGCATCCAATCCTTTCTTCATCCGCTGCATTAAGCCCAACATGGAAAAGGTCAGTCCACTTCTACCTCAGCTCCTCTGAGTGAAAGAATCATTAATTTTACATTCATTTATCATAATTGACATTCATTACAATTTGTAGGCACTTGAACTGAAATTATTGATTCAATGACAATCACTTACATTTTTCATGCTTTGAATCAAATCAGTGTTTCAAGCTAAATTCACGTTAAATTTTAATGCTTCAAATGAGAATGTGTCCATTTTTTGCACTTCAAATGAACTTTTTTGTTTTTTCTGGCAGAATCCCAACGTTTTCGACCCTGAGGTGGTCCTGAACCAGCTGAGGTACTCGGGGATGCTGGAGACCGTCAAGATCCGTCGTGCCGGGTTCCCTGTCCGAAGAACTTTTAAAGATTTCTTCTTGCGGTGAGTTGCTCTCACGTTAAATTCGACCACATAGCTCCACCCACAAACAGGATTAAATTGGTCAAAATCAAGGTACCACTGTTGCCTCCCACATTCCAAAAACATGCATAGCAATCTGATTAAACACTCTAACTTGTCCCGAGATGTGAGTGTGAGCGCGAATGGTTGTTTGCCTGTGTGTGCCCTGCGATTGGCCCACAACCGGTTCAGAGTGTTCCCCACCTACTGCCTGAAGACGGCTGGGATGGGCTCCAGCAGCCCCCGTGACCCTTGTGAGGATAAGCGGATCAGAAAATGGATGGATGGATGGGAGGATGAATTTTTGACAGATTCAAAACTATGCAGATTTGCCCGTAGCTTTATCCTGCATTGCTTCTTCTTGCCAGATATAAGATCATTTCCAAGGAGAAAGTGACAACAGCAGGCGATGATAAGAAGAGGAGCACGGATCTTCTGACTAAATACGACAAGACCAAGAAGGAGTGGCAGCTGGGGAAGACCAAAGTACGATTTCTTTCTGTTTAGACCAAGGGGTGGGCAAAGTACGGCCCGGGGGCTCACATAGCCTGCTCCGTTATTTAGTCAGGAGCATGTAGCGACAATACATGTATACGCGCAGGATATCAGGAGTCCCATTATATTCGTTGCATTCATTTAGCCGCTTGATTGAATTGGTATTAAAATGTATTCATATTTATTCACTATCTATTTTGTAATTCATATATCATTTACTGTCACGTTTTGCGAGGTGGGAGTTGGAGGACCCCAAAAAGCAGGGAATCCTTTTATACAACTAATGACGTAATGACCAACAGGTGTGCCGCTGCAGGTGGAGCCCCACAGTGCCACCTGTTGGTCACAAACAGAACCGTGACATTTACCTCATTAATTAATTGATGTATTGTAAATCTAATATCATATCACTTTTTCAAGGTCTTCCCTCTGTATATTTTTTTGAACAAACACAACAATAAATTCACCTTGATGAGACCATTTGCTGTTTTCTGTCCAGGTGTTTATGAAAGAGTCTCTGGAACAACGCTTGGAGAAAGACCGCGACGAAGTGCGACGCCAGGCGGCCATGATCATAAGAGCTCACCTTCTCACTTTCTCGGCCAAGTAAGAGCCCCGTATCACTAACTTTTTTTTTTTTTTTTAACCTTAGAAAACTGTAATAAAAAGGTATGTCATTTAGGAAACACTTCAAGCGAGTGCGTGCCAGCACCGTCACCCTGCAGAAGCACCTGCGCAGGCACATCCAACGAGGCCGCTTTCTCCGCCAGCGCAAAGCAGCGCTGGTGCTCCAGAGGCACCGGCGAGGCCAGGTAGCCCGAACCCGCGTCCGCAATCTCCGTGAGGAGAGAAGGAAGAAGGAGGAGGAAGAGAAGAAACTGGTAGAGAAGGCAGAGGACAAGGAGGAAGCGGAGGGGGAGACGGAAGGCGATGTGGAGCAGGAGGGAGCCACCGAGGGGACCAATAAATCTTCTCAGGTAAGTTGGGCATTTTTTTTTTATAGTCGGGATGAGTGCTGAGGTGCAATAATATAAAATAAAAAGTTGAAATAAAATTGGAAGTAAAGACAGAAAATACTCCGAAAATAATAGAATGATATATAAGCGATCAATAATAACCAGATGAAAGGGAAAGCATTTGGGAAATATCCAACAATCAAGAAGGGGGAAAAAAAAGTTCTGATTAGGAAAAAAAAATAAATAAATTCAGACCTAATTTGTATTCATTTCATTGAGGAAAGTTTTGAGACATAAGTGATTTTCCTAGCGTGCCACCATTTCCCTGCTGACATCGCATAATCTCCTTTCCAGGACGAGGTGCGTCAAATGGAGGAGATCCTTCAGCTGGAGCGCGAGATCGAACGTCTGCAGAAGAAGCGCGAGGACGAGGTTTCGCAGCTGTGCGAGTCATCCAAGCAAGAGCTGCAGTTGCGCCGCGACGCCGAGCTCAAGCGCATGAAGAAGGAGGCCTCGCGCAAGGCCACGGGCCTCATCGACCTGCTCAACTTCAGCGGCGTGGACCCCACGCTGGGCGAGGCGGCGCAGGCGGTGGTTGACGGCGAGGCCGAACCTCCCAAGGCCGCCCGGGTGAGTCTGGCTGTCATCCTCGATGGCGCTCCTTTATTTCGGTCACACGTGGAAAAACATCACACAGTATGAGTGCACGAATGATGTGGATATTTTTGGGGAGAGATGGCGATCCCGTTTCCAGAATAAAATACAGATGACCGATATCGGCCAATTAATAAAAAAAATGTAGAGTATAAAAATGTACTTTTTTTGGGGGGGGTTACTTAACTATTATAACAATAAAGGGTTGACAACAGGCAGAACATTTGACTGTTTTACAATATTTTGTATATTATTTATTTCATTTGACAAGAGAGAAATTGGCCAAATTCCGTTTTTTTTTTTTTTTTTTAGGTGGGGGCGGGTGAATGTCTTATGTTGTGTAATTTTTTTCCATAATGACCTTTTGTTAGGTTTAAAAATGTAAAATGTCATATCCAGTAGGTGTTTGAAAGCACTCATAATGAAAAAAAAAAAAGATCAATTTGAGTTATTACTGATTGTTTTTATCCAGTACAGGAGTGTAGATCGCTGTTTTTCTTATTTGAGAAACCTGCTTGAATTTTATTTATTTATTTGGGGTGGTGGGGGGGGCGTGGCTTAGGCTGCCACCGCCATGCAACTGGGCGTGTCCAAGGACGAGGAGGTGGACGAGGGTTTCCACGCTGAGGAGGAGTACATCCCGCTTCCCGACTTCCCCCCTCCGGTGGAGACTGACACCCCTATGGATCAGGCCATATTCGCCCACCTCCCTCCGCCGCCGCCGGCCTTCGCCGAGGGGATGGTGCCCCCCGCTCCACCCCCACTCCCGCCAGAGGGGCAGAAAGCCGAACCGGAGAGGAAGGTCAGCATGGCGGACAGCCTAGTGGACGGCGAGGAGCCCATCTACAGCATGCCCGCCGACACCGAGTCCGACTACGACCAGGAGGAGGAGGAGGGCTCGGTGACGGCCGGCGACGACAGCTCGGTGTCGGGCAGCAACCGGGGCAGCGCCGCCGTCACCGACGAAGAGCACCCGCGCAAGTCCACCTGCACCAGCGTCAGCGCCGAGTCCTACCGGGGAAGCTCCGACTCAGTGAGGACACGCATTCACGCTTGTGCGCGCAGAAACGGTCAAATGATTCACTCAATATAAATGGAAACAAATAAAAATGAGAAATGGAAAGAAAAATTATTCCAATATAAAAAAAATAGGCAAAATCAGTCATAATTGGAACTCAGCCTTGATTTCGACCAGAATTCATCCAAGAGCCTTTTCATTTCATTTGGCAAAAATGGAGTTAGCCCACTCTTGTTCTCAGCGCCTCCTACTCAAATGCATACTTCAGCTTCATTCAGTCATGTGACCATTATGGCTTCAGTATGCAGGCAGCGACGACGAGCACGACGGCATGATGGACACCGACGAGGAAGCCACAAACGGACGAGTCACCTTGTTCAATGGCAACGGGCCGCCGTATTTCCACGGTTACCTCTACATGAAAGGTGAGACTTGATCTCGTCTCGCCTGACCTCATCGCGCTTTTCTGACTCTGTCTCCTACCAATGCAGCCGGCCTGATGATCCCGTGGCGAAGGCGCTGGTGTGTGTTAAAGGATGAGACCTTCATGTGGTTCCGCTCCAAGCAAGAGTCTCTCAAGTCGGGCTGGCTCTACAAGAAAGGAGGAGGCCTCTCCACCCTCTCACGCAGGTTGTTGTACTTGTTACCATGCATGCAAGACGCACGCTCAGTCAGTGAACGTGTTTCCAGTTTTTGTTTGCATTACCAAGTTGCCCCACTTCCAAACAGTAAAAATGGAAAAAAAAAAAAACGTTTCAATGGAAAATGGGGGAGGGAATCTAAATATTTGTTCAAATCAGAAATAGATTTTATTAAAAATGAGCATCCTTCCGCTAACTTCTGACATTTAAAAAAAATGGTTCCAAAAAATTTAAAATTACCAGGGGAAAAAAAAGAAGCCGAAATGTATGAAAAAGATTTGTTGAAGGGTTGAGGAAAGTGTAATTTTTGATGTGCAAGAAGACAAAAAAATAAATTTTTTTAAGTCCAGTTAAATAAATAAAGTTGAAGGGTTTATGAAAGTGCAGTTGTCAACCCCCCAACTTCTGACCAAAAGCAAATGAAAAATATATTCTGTGTGATTTTAAGATTTATTACAACACTCCAATTATTTAGACAGTTAAAAAAAATGAAAATTTACACCGCACCTCTTTGAAGTGGATATAAATGTGCATATATATATTCTGACCGCACTTTAAAAAAATATATATATAAATTAAAAAAACAATGACAATAATATTACCAGAAAAAAAGAAAGTAAATTGGTGAGAGGAAAAAAAAAACAAAAATACACTTTCTGAAGTGTTTCTGAAAGTGTGATTACCAACTTTGGATCCCTCCCCCCGCAAAAAATTAAAAAAATTCAACAATAACAACAAAACTCAATTTTACGTACAACCTTAAACAAATTACATTTTGATTGTTTTTGTTATGTTTAAATAATTATTCGTTCACCAAATATTTAGTAAGATGAAGTTACTTTAACTGACTATATAAGGTTGAGATGAAAAGACAACATACTGTATTTGCTGCATCTCATCATCTACAAAGCAAACAATTTTCAAGGTTTTCAAGAGTTCCCATCGAGAGTTACTAGCAGTGGTTTACTACGGGCTGTTGAGAAGCTGCATGATTCACTTACGTGAAATTGAACTGTTTGTCTACGATCAGAAACTGGAAGATGCGCTGGTTCGTGCTGAGGGACAGCAAGCTGATGTACTATGACAATGACAGCGAAGAGAAGCTGAAGGGAACCATCGACATCCGGGCTGCAAAGTAAGACAAATAAAAAAAAAAAAAATTCCATCTATCCATTTCTATCTGGAGTTTGGTCATGGGGGAAATAGCTTTAGCACGGAACCCCCAGAGGTCCTAAAATTGTGCTTTTCTTAACGTCTTGCCGTTTGTGCGCTCAGAGAGATCGTCGACAATCACGAGAAGGAGAACGCTCTGAACATCGTGACGGACGAGAGGACCTACCAAGTTTTTGCTGAGTCGCCAGAGGACGCCAGGTCGGTTGGTACTCGCGATTACGTCGACCAAAACGTGAATTCTTTATTCGTGACAAAACATGTAGTTTTGTGCATTGACCAGATGAGCAATCAAAATGGCCCAAGAATTGAAAAATTATTTGCGATTCCACCAGATGACACAGTCGACAATCCCGTTGGTTTTGCCAGTATTATCCAAAAATAATTGTTAAAATAATCTCCAAGCGCACTTCTGTGAAACGATCAAGAAGCTTCTCATGCAACTCAAGTACACTATTTGCTGGATTTCAATCTTCATCTCAACCAGACCGTTTTTTTTTTTTTGTTGTTTTTTGGCTAATTCTCGCTCTCTCTCTGTGTTTATGTGTAGCGGTTGGTTTAACGTGCTTAGTAAGGTGCGAGTATGCACGCCGGAGCAGCTTCTGGAAATGTCCCACGAGCAGGCCAACCCCAAGAACGCTGTGGTCAGTTCCGACATACAACTTGTTTTCCTTTTATTACTATTCCGTCAAGGCTATGAGAAAGCGGCAGACATTAACTGGTCACAACATTAGGTACAGGGGTGCATCATTTTTTCAAAATGACATTGTAAGACTCAATTCATTTGCGTTATTACTATTTTGATCTCAGGGCACGCTTGACGTGGGTCTGATTGACTCTGTTTGTGCATCGGACAATCCTGATCGGTGAGTTACATTTTTGTCAATTGCGGCATGCCGTGTCGCGTATATTTTTTTTTGTTCTTTTTTTTCTTCTATTTTACAGAGCTTTTGCAGTACTAATTTTTCATTCATAATTCTTACATTGCAGGGCTTGTAGTACTGGTACTTTTGAATTGTTTAAAAAATGTGATTAATATTTGCTATATATTCATTTTTTTATTCATTTTTGAGTTAACAATTTCAAACAATTATTTTGCTGTATTAAGTCGAACTTTATTTTGGGAAATAATAGAAATACAGCAAAAAGTACATTTGTTGATGGTTTTACTTACGTCTAATGACAACAATAATAATCCTGTTAAATTAAACCAGGGTCACTCTTTGAGGAGGACATCTCAGTAGATTACATGACATTAGATTTGCGGTACCTAATATTGTGATAGGTGAGCCTAAAAAGTTGTTTTTTGTTGGTGCTGTTTGCAGGCCCAACTCCTTTGTGATCATCACAGCCAACCGTGTGATCCACTGCAACAGCGACACGCCTGAGGAAATGCATCACTGGATCAGTCTGCTGCAGAAGCCCAAAGGCGACGCCAGGATCGAAGAGTTCCTCGTTCGAGGTGACACAGCCATTGAATTGCTTTAAAAAAAAAAAAAAAAAAAAAATCAAAGAAATGAAGCACAAATATTTAACTCCTGGACTTACAAAGTTTTTTCTTTTTTACATTTTTGTAGTTTCAAATACAACTACTACATCCCGAAAAATGTATTCCACTCCATCTTTCATATTTCTTATGCAGACACAAACATATCAGCTTTCAGCCTCTGTGACTAGAATTGGGTCATCTACGGGCTTTTCACGAGAGGCGCTAGCCGCCAGCTAGCTCGCAAGCTAACGGCTTCCCTGCTTAAAAAACAAAAAGTATGGACGTCACAGCATGCTGTTGTTGCCCTTTTGGTAGCTGGTGAAACCAGCAAGACTCCGGCTGGTCACCAGCAACTGGCCCCGAGCAACATGCTAGCTGTGCTAGGCGGCTGGAGCTCAGTTCAGCGAGCGGGTTGCCCGCTGATCGACGGTTCAGCTCTTCCAATCTCGGCTGTTTTGTTTTGCCGTTGCTGCTTGTCTTGGTGGTGACACTAGCAAGACCAGCACAAAAACACCACAAAACCACCCTGGTCAGTGCTGTTTTGTAGCAGAGTTGGGGAAAGTAATTGTGCCAGATATCCGCTAATGCGCACAAAGGCGCTCAAGCTCTTTGGTAGCGTTGGTCGGGGGACTCATGCCCGATGCTGAAAGTGTTACTGGGCACTGTATTAACCATTCTATATCTCCACAATTCAATTCTATAGAGTTCGTCGTCTTTGTACACATTTTCACAAGCTATCATCAAACATGTACATTAGCAACAAACCTCTGAATTTATTTTACAGGGTACTTTTGTCACCTCTGCTTATTTCCCTCTTGTCTGTTCACCTTTCAAGGTTGGCTCCAAAAGGAGGTAAAGACCAACGCCAAGAGCACTTCGCTGAAGCTCAAGAAGCGCTGGTTTGTCCTCACACACAATTCGCTGGACTACTACAAAAGCTCAGAACGCAACTCTTCCAAAATGGGCACGCTGGTGCTGAATTCGCTCTGCTCCGTCATCCAGCCGGACGACCGAGTGCACAAGGAGACAGGTGAAGAAAAAAAAAAATGCCACGCCAAATAAATGCCTTTTTTTCCCCCCATAGGGTAAAACAAGAACGTAACTGCATTTACTGCAGTTTATAGATGCTATCTTTTTTGGGGGCGTGGGTAGGGGTATTTTTTAAAAATACTGTAATTCCCTTTCCATTACTGGGTTTAGTTCCAGATCACTATGTGAAAAGTGAAAATATTTAGCCTAGGCATGTTTTTATAACATTTATGTCAGCGAAAAACTGTTCTCAGTTGCCTTACCTTGTTCAATGAATAAAGTTGAAGTATTATTGTTATTGTTGGAACAGAAGGAGAAGCCCCCAGCCGTAAGTTTTGTTACACAAGGACTTTGGGGAAAAAAAAACTTCACGGTTTTCCCGATTCTCCTTTTCATGACAATTCCCCTAAATTGTGTAGTGCAAAGGCAGCAGGGCTATGCTAGCCTGCAGGACGAGGCGGTGCGGGTTTTCAACTCGCTGCAGGAGATGGAGACACTGGCCGACACGGTGCCCATCATCCAGGGCATCCTGCAGACCTGCCAGGACCTGCGTCCTCTCAGGGATGAGGTCGGTACCTCTGACTCAGGCTCAACAACCCAGACCAGCCAAGCCAACCTCGACCAACCTGACTGATTGGTGTACCCAATCAATCAAACTACCTGACAGACTGACTGATACAACCAACCCGGAGACAAACTCATCCACAGACTAACCAACCAACCAAAAAAACAAAACAAACAACAAAATCCAGTGCATCCCAGACATGCACCCACCCACCGACCTAACCAACCAGGAAGCTACCAACAAACACGATCCAAGCAACCCAGACCAATCATACCGACTGAACCAACCAACCAATCACCCAACCAACCAACCAATCACCCAACCAACCAACCGACATACCCAACCAATTAACCAGTCAACCAACCAACCAAACACAGAAACCAACTTGACTCCAGCTAATCAAGACCAAGTGACCGCCTCAGTGACTCGGCTATTCAAACAACCAACAAGTCCAAACCTAACAAACCAGCCAATCGACCAACCAAAAGCAAATAACCAACCAAACAATGAACACATTTGTGTTGTGTTTCTCAGGTCTACTGTCAGGTGATCAAGCAGACCAATCATGTGCCTCAGCCCAACAGCCCAGCCAATCGGGCGCACTGGCACCTCCTCACCTGCATGAGCTGCACCTTCCTCCCCAGTCGCGTTATCCTCCGATATCTACGCTTCCACCTGAAGAGGTAAGTTGTTTGACAGGACCCAACAATTCTACTTCCTTGTAAACTGGATAGCTAAAGTGTGTGCACCTTCATCAGGGTTCGCGAGCGTTACCCCAGCACGGAGATCGAGCGCTACGCCACTTTCATCGGGGAATCCTTGAAGAAGACCAAAACTCGCGAGTTTGTGCCCTCCCAGGAGGAGATCGCCGCCTTGCTTGTGAGGCAGGAGATGAGCACCACTGTTTACTGCCACGGGGGAGGATCCTGCAAGATCTCCATCAACTCGCACACCACTGCTGGAGAGGTGCACATACAATTCGTATAAATTCCAACGTACAGTACAGTTGAAGGTTCTGCAGCAGCGAAAACTAACGCGTTAAAACGGTTTCTGCTCAAGGTTGTGGAGAAGTTGATCCGAGGGTTGGCCATGGAGGACAGCAAGAACCTCTTCTCTCTTTTTGAGCACAATTCTGTGACCGATCGAATCGCACGCAAAATAAATGCCTCCCCCCCCCCCCATAGGGTAAAACAAGAACAAGAAGTAACTGCATTTACTGCAGTTTATAGATGCTATCTTTTTTGGGGGCGTGGGTAGGGGTATTTTTTAAAAATACTGTAATTCCCTTTCCATTACTGGGTTTAGTTCCAGATCACTATGTGAAAAGTGAAAATATTTAGCCTAGGCATGTTTTTATAACATTTATGTCAGCGAAAAACTGTTCTCAGTTGCCTTACCTTGTTCAATGAATAAAGTTGAAGTATTATTGTCATTGTTGGAACAGAATTAATTGTGGCCATCTTTGTTGTGCAGGATACTGGAACATCATTGTGTATGGCAGGAAACATTCCTACCGCCTCTACACCAAAATGCTGAATGAGGCCATGAGATGGACGGCTGCCATACAAGGCGTCATTGACAGCAAGACACCCATCGAGACACCGACTCTGCAGCTCATCAGAGACATCAAGGTAGAACCATGATTGACACTGCTAGATAACTAATGATTTAACATTGGGTTCACGGTGAGGGCTGTTTCTATCATGCTGCGATGTTACCAGGAGAACAGCGTGAATCCAGAAATAGTGGAGCAAATGTACAGGAGAAACCCCATCCTCAGATACACGCAGCATCCTCTACACTCGCCGCTACTGCCGCTACCGTATGGCGAAGTCACCAGCCGTAAGTTTTGTTACACGAGGCCTTTGGGAAAAAAAAACTTCACGGTCTTCCCGATTCTCCTTTTCGTGACAATTCCCCTAAATTGTGTAGTGCAAAGGCAGCAGGGCTATGCTAGCCTGCAGGACGAGGCGGTGCGGGTTTTCAACTCGCTGCAGGAGATGGAGACACTGGCCGACACGGTGCCCATCATCCAGGGCATCCTGCAGACCTGCCAGGACCTGCGTCCTCTCAGGGATGAGGTCGGTACCTCTGACTCAGGCTCAACAACCCAGACCAGCCAAGCCAACCTCGACCAACCTGACTGATTGGTGTACCCAATCAATCAAACTACCTGACAGACTGACTGATACAACCAACCCGGAGACAAACTCATCCACAGACTAACCAACCAACCAAAAAAACAAAACAAACAACAAAATCCAGTGCATCCCAGACATGCACCCACTCACCAACCCATCAAATGAACTATCAAATCAACAACAAAACACAACCCATGCCAACCCAAACCAACCAACCAACCAAACCAGTCCAACCCAGACGTGCATAACTAGCCAATCAACCAACCAGATAATCCACCAACGCAATCCACCCCAGACATGCACCCACCCACCGACCTAACCAACCAGGAAGCTACCAACAAACACGATCCAAGCAACCCAGACTAATCATACCGACTGAACCAACCAATCACCCAACCAACCGACATACCCAACCAATTAACCAGTCAACCAACCAAACAAACACAGAAACCAACTTGCCTCCAGCTAATCAAGACCAAGTGACCGACTCAGTGACTCAGCTATTCAAACAACCAACAAGTCCAAACCTAAAAAACCAGCCAATCGACCAACCAAAAGCAAAGAACCAACCTAACAATGAACACATTTGTGTTGTGTTTCTCAGGTCTACTGTCAGGTGATCAAGCAGACCAATCATGTGCCTCAGCCCAACAGCCCGGCCAATCGGGCGCACTGGCACCTCCTCACCTGCATGAGCTGCACCTTCCTCCCCAGTCGCGTTATCCTCCGATATCTACGCTTCCACCTGAAGAGGTAAGTTGTTTGACAGGACCCAACATTTCTACTTCCTTGTAAACTGGATAGCTAATGTGTGTGCACCTTCATCAGGGTTCGCGAGCGTTACCCCAGCACGGAGATCGAGCGCTACGCCGCTTTCATCGGGGAATCCTTGAAGAAGACCAAGACTCGCGAGTTTGTGCCCTCCCAGGAGGAGATCGCCGCCTTGCTTGTGAGGCAGGAGATGAGCACCACTGTTTACTGCCACGGGGGAGGATCCTGCAAGATCTCCATCAACTCGCACACCACTGCTGGAGAGGTGCACATACAATTTGTATAAATTCCAACGTACAGTACAGTTGAAGGTTCTGCAGCAGCGAAAACTAACGCGTTAAA